TCGAATATTCAGTTGATGATGGAATATTTGAATACTCGGGACAGCCCTTCTATCTTGTTGAATTACAGACTCTGATACATACACTTTGGCTCCTTAAGTTAAAAAGAATGTTTAGGGTAACTTCGGTTGCCCAACTGACTAGTCACTACTACATTTGTGTTTCCATTCAGGCCATAGATTCGCTTCACCAGGGTACACAAGTTGGACCTGGAAGTTTTATGCAGGCCTGATTGACTTAAATTCTAAAGGGAAAATAAAGTCTAAAAAAACATTTTGACAACAGACCTGCAGAGCCACTCTGAGGTACAGGTCTTGGACAAGTTGGACTTTTTTCAGAAAAGCCTACATTCACTTTGAAAATTGCTGTATTGCTTCACTGATTCCGAAGTTCTGAAAATTGTCCAACCATTTTACTGCCTTTCTGTGGCCGGAATGACATTCCCACATTCTACAACTACAAAGTCGTATACAAAGAGGGTATCTTCACGTGGCAGGTATGCTGCAATTATTCCAAAAATTAAGTTTTATGACGTGGCTAAATAATTACTGAAGCCATTGACACGTGTAACACATTTTTCAATGGCTATAGTTACAGATGCAATGTAAATAATATTGCCAATGCATATGAGACTTTTTCAGTTAAGTACATTGGTAGGTCAATAGGATAAGTGCATGTTTTGAGTGCCAATGAGCGGGGCTCAATTCTCCATGAAATTTTTGTTTTTCCAACTATCAAATTTTTAACTTTTCAGAAAACAAGAAATTAGGGCCTACAACATTAAGAAAGAGGTTCAAACATTGTCAAATAATAAAAATATAAAAAAATCCTGTCACAAAATGTTAAATCAAATCTTAAGATTTGAAACTTGGCATGGTGGTCATATATAGTAAGGGTTTGCGTTAAAGGGAATGTACATCATTGGCTTTTGCTGTTATTTTCAGAAATGAACTATTTGGGGGTTAGTATAAAAGATCAAATATTGTTACACTGACATGTTTGAAGTTTTGCGTTCGAAAATGCTGGAAAAACCAAGAAAAACAAAAATATTCAAGTAGTCTGGCTCCCTGACTCCACTAAAGATAAAATGGATCAAAAATACCGGAAAATTGTAAGGTAAGGGAACCAGTCTAGCTGGCCTGCACCCGTTCATGAACATGGAACCAATAGCTAGCAAAACAAAATTTAGACTAAAAAAAAAAGGTAAATTTGGAGCAGTAATTGAAGGTTAGGTTTTTTTAGATAGTTAGGTTTTTCCAACGGTGGTCGGCTGAACAGCGTTGGAAATGTATACAAATATACCATTTTCTTGAAAATGGCTTCACACCAGGTGCCATAATTTTACAGGATGCTTTAGACTGTCATTTACCAACATCCTAGTAAGGTATTTCATAACAACTTGGTAGTTTTATTTTTCGATGTTTGCAAATGTTGTATTTTCCCTTTAACCCGATGTTGAAGAATCTCTCTTGAGAAGATGTGTTGTTCTGAAAACAACAGGTATGCTCGTTGGTTGTGAACTCGAGGTTCCGATCGAATCAAATCTTACTTGTTATCGATGTGAATGCCATCTTTTTGTTCTTATTTGTGGCTCTGCCAAGTTTTAATTTTTTTTAAGGGAACGAAAGTCTGAGAACCATACAATTGACAACTAACACCTGTGTGATGGTTAATTTCTTACAATTCATTCATTCATTTAACATTTATTTCCAACTCTGAATACAAACGCAAATAATATACATAATATAACGAAAAAAATTAACTACAGCAACAGCATAATATTTAGGCACTGGAGATTTGGACTGCAAGGGTTTTCTTCCAGTAAACGTCATTGTCACAGAGGCCTTCTCTGATTGGCTCATGTAAAATTATGTCTTTTGTGGAAAGTGAGAACAACAAGATGGGACAATTCAGGAAGGTTAGTGAGCAATCTCTATTCCAATCAAGAAACATGGTAAGTATCCCATCCTACTAAAACAAAACTGGCGCTGGGCAAAACCCCACTGCTAATCCACACAATAGCCAATGATGTTGTCACTCTTTCAGTGGATATTGGATAAAATATTAAAATTCACTCTTCTAGGTATAAGTCGTCGGGTGCCTGGAAGAAGGTCCTAAGGGCAAAAAATGGGTCAAAAGTTCAAATTCAGGTTTTCGGATAATCGATAAAGCTTGGAAATATGTTTCATTTGATATGTTGTCTCAAGGCCTGGGGCTATGTCATTCTGACGTTATTAACAGTAAACAAAAGACGGAAGGAGGTTTTTCATTAATTGTGCCCGGCAAAAGGTCATAAGCGTGTAATTATTTGTTACAAAAAAAATGTTCCAAACGTCCTGGCACTTAAATGGGTACGCAAAGCCAAGTTTGATCCCTGCAAAAGGACGTTAGGATTTAACATGCCGCTTAAGCGCACGTTTAATGCAGGGCAACTTCACGTTTAAGGCAGATGGAGTTCCCGGTAATAGGTTGTAAGCAGACAAATTTAAATAACTTCAAAATTAAGAAATATTTTGAAATAAAAATGCACAATATGATTTTAATTATTCACGACTTTCATGAGCCCAAATTTCAGCCTGATGTGATTTTTCATTTAGAAATGGGAGCAGAAAACCTTTCAACTCGATTATCTCCAAAAGTGCTCTTTGCGTGTCTGGGCTGCTTACGTCCTTTTCCTTGGCACACGAAAAAGTTATGTCTGTAATAAGACTTTATACATGAAACAGCACCTCACATCATAATAATAATAATAATATCGGAGTCTTATATAGCATTTAGGTACTCAAGGCGCTGGAAATTATGTCTATTATTAAAGAAAGGTAAATAAAGTTTATGAGAAATATGAGACCCATTATGTAGCACCTTATATTGGTTTACAAGGTACTGCGGCACATATTGCAGCCACTGCCAGAAACACCGGGGCAAACCCCTTCTCTTAGCGATAAGTGTTACTGGGTTCTTTAACGTGCATTACACAACACACGGGACCTACGGCTTTACGTCCCATCCGAAGGACGGAGCAATAATGGTAAAGTGCCTTGCTCAAGAGCACAAGCACCATGTTCCCACGGTCAGGATTCGAACCCATGTACCACGGCACACGAGTCGAACACCGTAACCATTGGACCACAGCACCCCACAGTCACAGACTATTCACGATGACAAGTGGTGACAGAATATAAAATGATGAGTATCGCCTGCACCACCACAATCAATTCCCAACAACAATAGGAAAAAATTCCATACTGGATCACCACTTTTTTTCAATTAATTTTCAAGCGCCAAAAGTTGCATCCTTTATGGTTATTCCCTCCACTTTCCCTCCTCTACTCTCACCCTCTCCTTTCCTTTATTCCTATTTATTAATCAGTCAGTTACTTCATCAAGATTCGAACCTCGGACTCTTGCTTGAAACATGAGACTCTTAACCGCTAGGCCTCGCACGATCGCTGTTGCAAAAATCAATCTTTAGACGTATTTGAAGTAGACATTGAAATAAACTAAATATTCATGAGAAAATAAATATTCATAATGACGTATTGCACTATCAATGGCCGGCTCATGCGACGTCATGGTTGTCGATGTCATGTGTATAACGTACCGCTGTCTTTCAGCCACTTCAATCAGTTTTGACCGGCTGCTTCAACTTAGTTCTGCACGACGTGTGCATCCAAAATGTGCTCTAAAACCACATTTTGCTTAATTTGTTTTCGCATTTACACAGTTTCCTGGATTCCTCTTGGGTGAAATCACAAAGTTAGGTGAAAATTGATGTGTTTGGCGGCAGGTAAATTCGTGACCTAGTATGGACATTTTCCCCAACAATAGACACATTCATATTCAACGAGAAGTTCATCTCGAAGTAATCTGTATCAAATCCATAATCGAACCACTTTGTTTAAAAATGGAACATTACAACGCGGCATTAAGTTCTGGAATAGCCTTACAGATTACACGAGGTAAAATAAAACAGGGGCCCTACGCTTGCGCTTCACAATCGCCGCGCTATCAACATCAAAAAGACTCATCATCTCATTGGAGTAGCTCCAGCTTAACAAGCTCATCAGGAATTGAATTCCTGATGAGCTTGTTAAGAGCTTGTTAAGCTGGAGCTACTCAAGCTATGGAGGTTCCTTCCTCCATGCTCAAGCTAGTATAATTCATCATCATGCATTATAACAATGAATGTCAGACAAGTCGACCGTCGAGACAACTCGACTCGGGACAAGTCGACCGTTGAGACAACTCGACCGTTGAGACAAGTCGACCGTTGAGACAACTCGACTCGGGACAACTCGACCGTTGAGAAAGCTCGACTTAATGGAAATGTATACACGTGGAGCGGAAAAAGTTGCAAAAATCTGTGGCAGGACCGGTCCCGGGCGCGGCGCGGGCATACTCGATGCACAGAGGGCGATCCGGCGATCCGATCCGATCCGGTGGCCGTCGCGTTGGGCCGGCGCGCCCTGCCCGCGAGGACCGGGCCCGGCCCGGCACGCGGGCATGTCAACCGGCGCGGCAAGCAAGTGGGCGCACAGGCCCGGCAAAACAATCACGCTGCGCTATATCGGCTCTGTTATATGCAACAAAAAACCCTCATGTGTCATCACTCCCAAACGGTGATCAGCCGCCGTCAAAAATCCCCGGTACTATCCCCAAAACTAGGCCCAAAAACATGCGAGGCGACTTGTCTCAACGGTCGACTTGTCTTTCCATTTATCGCACATACGGTCGAGTTGTCTCAACGGTCGAGTTGTCTCAACGGTCGACTTGTCCCGAGTCGAGTTGTCTCAACGGTCGACTTGTCTGACCCCCATAACAATATAACTTAACCATTAGGCTATCATGTGCACATAGGCTATAGTACTCCTAGAACTATGAGGCTCCACGTAGTGGAGCTACGTGGAGCCTCATAGTCATAGTTCTAGGAGTAAGGCTATAGCACAGTGCAGTGAAAAACGTGAGAAGAAAAAATCCTCAAAAAAATATGTCTCTTACTTACTCATAATCCCTGTTACTAGTACAGGTGCGAGTTGAAGTTGTAGTTTGATTCTTGATCACTAGCTCTGGTTGTCATGCATGACCATTTTTTAATACAGCGTCGATCAAGTCCAGGCGCGGCCGGGCGACTTGATCGTCATGATCGTCTACTCGCTTGATTGATAGTTTATCATGGTCACGCATCAGTGAATGGTCTCTGTCAGTCAAACTGTCACCAGACTATTTCCAATACGCATTTGCGTGCTAATGAATGTCTGGCACTTGTACCGCGGACGGGAAAAAAACATGGGGGAAAAACACATTGCGTTTGTTGTCAACCCGAAGACTGGTTTCCGCCCCTATTTTCTAAGACTGAAGATGTTATCAAGACGGTGCAGAACCAGCCTATTAAGCGGCAAGTAGAGTGGGTTTTACAAACCTCGGCTTCGTCCGTCGTTCGGCATGGCATCGGACTCGGAGATTTTGGGAGCTATCGAGATATTAAATTTAATAGTAGCATTTACTAAAGTGTCCATAACAGAAAAAACCTAAACGTGCTTCATTTCTGAAGCAGCATAATATGTGAAACCATTCCAAGCTTGAGCAACAATCAGAAGAGAGTAGACAGGAGCTGAACTTCTGAAGCCAAAGTCAATGATGAAACCGAGGTTTCGAAAAACTTTTACGCAAGTTCGCGCACGCACAGTGCTGGCAAATAGCGCCACCATTATGAGTTTACATGTACTTTCTTTCACGTAGATTTGTTTTCCTTCACTAGTGCATAATCTCACAGTATAACGTATACGCTCTCGGTTGCATAACAATGCAATCTATAATGACAACAAAAGCCGTGTCCTCACTTCACTTTTTTTTAAATAACGCGAGCCCATTAGGTGTCTTTTATGGAGCAAACACATTGCCTCTCCGATTGGCCTTTGCGACAGTACGATTACAAAAACCCAGTGACAATAATTAAATTAAGGAAACAGAATGTACAGAAAGTTTCTTTGAATAAGAATTCGACTTTTATTAATGCTGAGGACAATAGAATAGATTTGATATTTTAAAAAAGGGGTAATTATGTCGTCTTTTAATTGTAGCACAACGTATTTAAATATACCCCTATTCATAAGATGACATTTGCTTCGGGGGGATGTAAATTCAGCATGTCGGTTACTAGGCAAAACCCAATGAGCCTAAACGTATTGAAGTTTCTTCAGCCCGGCGCAAATTCCATCTTATGAGTTGTCTGGCTAGAACTCGCTGTTAGCAGATTCGAACCAGCCAGTCGACCCTGGCGCGGCAAGTCGAGTGGTTAAGACGTCTACAATATTAGGCCCCAAAATACTCGGTATCTGGTCAGACCAAAGTTCCGGAATTGATGCAGCGACGCGGCTTTTTTTTCTTCTTCTTCTTTTTTTTTTTTGGCTTTTTTTCCCCAAGCTTGGATTGTACAGACAAGGTGGGGCACTACTTTGCTCTTTTTTTTTTGGTGTCCTCATGTACATTTGTGTCCTCCATAATTTGCCTTGGTGCCCTCGATCATTTACCTTGGTGCAATTTCCCATTCCTTGGTGCTCTTTGGTAAAAAAAAAAATGGAGGAGGTGCAGCAATAGAGGGCGCTGTTGGAGCTACCGCGGAACATTTTGGGGAAAAAAAGATTGACGCGCATGATTAAAATCGACGCGCGCGCTGACCAGACACCGACTTATTTTTTTTTATTTTTTATTTTTTTTTTTTGGCCTTAGCAGAAGATTGTCGGTTCCCACCCGAAAAAAGTCAGCGACTTTGATCTCACAATCACTTGGGATAACACTGATTTTTGTTCATTTAACAGTGCAAGGCTATGGCCAAATAACGACATCCCTTTCCGTTAAACCCCTTTCCAGCCTATGTTTGCGGCGGGACTGAGAACATAGCTGGTCTACTTTGAACGTACTTACGTATGGATTTCTTTATGCGTTGAACAAAACAAATAATGAATGTTCTACATTCGTACAATGGAAAGAATAACTTCATTTGGTGAATTTTATTTTGTGAAAGAGACCAGCTGTATCAGCTATAGTGCTTTTGGGTAGGACATGGGTACGAATCAAAGTAGTATGATGGCCACAAGATATGTATATAAATTTTATAAGGCAAGAATTGGTTTGCATTCAGTTTTTATGACATGTTGGCAGGACTCAACCGACAGATTTTCTAAGTTTACTTGTCAATGCAGTATTGTTCTTCTGTTCTTAACGGCGAGCCCCTGCCAACTACAATAGTATCCTGAGAAAGGGGCGGAGCCCTCCGCTGTTGACTGATTGGTAGACGAGTTCTAGTCGTCACGTGACGGTTATTACCACGGAAAGAGTTTGCTTGAAACAGTGCACGGGAATCCAAATATTTAGTCATGGTCATGGTTCCCGTTTCCCCCAAGGCAATCTCTGGCATGGCGTCGTAATGATTGTCTCGGGGTGATATCGAGGCTCTGTATGGAATTCTAATGCGGTCCGTTTGTTCGTTTTCGAGTTTGTGCGTCTTGAGCCTGGCATTTCTGGGTCCGTCGTTCATGGCACCCTCGATGTTTAAACTTCCTAGAGTTCTGAAATTGTCACGCCAAAGACTCTCCCAAGTTTCATACGACCTTGCCTGAGTGACGTCATCGCGACCGAGATGCTTGATTGGCTGTTTCAAGTTGTTTATCCCTCTGTCGCCAGAGGGCGCCATGCTGCCAAACGAACTCGTTCTCAGGTGGCTTCGCGATCTCTCCAACGAAAACCAGCTGTTGCTTTGTGATGACACGGATTCGGTCTTCGCACTGTTTCTACCAATCCGGCTGAGTTTGCTGCCCACTATCTCCGCCCGTAACTCGCCTACGATGTTGACAAATGTCCCTCCCGTGTACGAGTCAATCGTGACGGTCTTAGATTTGGCGCCCCCTACGTTCCCATTACCCACTTTACTCCGCCCATTTTTGCGCTTTCCCTTGGTTTGGGGAGTTTTGGTAGGTGCTGGCTGGCCATTTTGTCGAGATACCGACATTGCGCCGTGCTGCTCTCTGGAGCTTGCCCTTGGGGAATCTTCACGCACTTGGCATCTGTTGACGCCATGTTGGTCGATTATGGTGACTGTAGCTGGCGACACTGTGGATCGTTTATCTCTGGAAAAAGAAGAAGAAAACATACATGCACAAACCTGTTTTGACGTGTTTTATGTAATGTCCAGCGCCGTGAATTCATACAGACGAACTGACTTTTTTTTACTTTGAAGAACGTCACGGAATTCTTGTAACCGTGCCCATGCAGACTCATACATAGTCATTCATTTTTGTAAAAAATAAAATAACATTAGTCTACTGTATACCAAGCTTAAACCGTTTCCAACAACGACTGGATATTTCACAAATTAAGAATGTAACGCTATCCGATAACATACTTTTTTCGGTCCTCAGCTTTGAAACTTGCATTTAAATAATGCCCACAAGCTCAAGCCGTAGTCACAAAAAGATGATCATGGAGGGCGGCCTGAAGCCATGGGCAGATTTCAACACTCATTATACATGATTGGCTTTTGCTGTAATTTTCAGAAATGAACTATTTGAGGGGTTAGTATAATAGATCAAATATTGTTAGACTGACATGTTTGAAGGTTTGTGTTCGAAAATGCTGGGAAAAAACAAGAAAAACAAAAACGTTCAAGTAGTCTGGTTCCCTGACTCCACTAAATATAAAATGGATCAATTTACAGATGCCGGAAACTTGTAAGGTAATGGAACCAGTCTAGCCGGCCTGCACCCGTTCATGAACATGTAACCAATAGCAAACAAAATTTGGACTGAAAGAAAAATGGTTAATTAGGAGCAGTAGTTGAAAAATAGTTAGGTTTTTCCAACGGTGGTCGGCCGACCACCGTTGGACATTTTTACAAAAATACCATTTTCTTGAAAATGACTTCACACCAGGTGCCATAATTTTACAGGATGCTTTAGACTGTCATTTACCAACATCCTAGTAAGGTATTTCGTAAAAACTAGGTAGTTTTATTTTTCGATGTTTGCAAATGTTGTATATTCCCTTTAAGGGCTGAAAAAAAATTGTGAAATTACAAATACCATAAACTGCAAGGCCACTTAATATTCGACCCCGATCCAATAAACTCAGGTGATCGGTGTAAATTCATTTCAGTGTGAATACCGGGTAATGTTCGGTTTAAGTAGGCCGCGGTGTTTACATGGCATGGTATAATACTGTTTGCAGTAGGGCTGCCGCAGTTGTGTTGTGTATAGTTACCAGGCACTTCAGATATTTTCAGATGATAGCGTGTTATCACTTATACACCGGATTAAAACGGCTTGAGATATATTTCGGGATAATTAATGTATGTTCTATGATCGACCGCGCCACTTAACAAACATACTTCGCGTGCATGTCTCCATTAGCCAATAGCCTTTAAACATTTATAGGTCATCTTCCACTTCAGTACAAGGAGAGTAAAAAAAAAAACGAAACCCAAATGTCGGGACCATTGTTTTCATGAAGTTCTGCATGTAGCATTTTCAAAATCTAGGATATGAAAACCCAATTCATAAGCTTTCTTTTAGTACAAGAATCATTCAAATCGCTTATGTACTTTTCAAGTTACGGAATTTTAAACACAACCCCCGTTTTAAGGTTCTGTCCATGGATCACAACAAAAAGTTCAGTGTTCTTTCAGCAAAACGAAAACAAATCACATAGGGATGTGTGTGAATTGTTTTCGTTTTGATGAAAGAACGCACGCCTTTTTTGTGATCCGTGGACAGAACTTTAAAACGGTGGTTGTGTTTAAAACTCCGTGACATGAGTGTTTTGAATGATTCTTAAACTAAAAGAAAGCTTATGAATTGGGCTTTCATATTCTAGATTTTAAAAGTGCTACATGCAGAACTTCACTTAAACAATGGTCCCGACATTTGGGTTTCGTTTTTTTACTCACCCTGTACACCGCTACACTAAGATGGTGACTAAATTAATACATATACATTCCCTTAATACGTCCCATGGTATCCATGATACATCGTACTCTGACTCCTATGGGGCCACTCCCACTGCTGAAATTTATTGCTACTTGCTGCAAAGAAACGGTCCAGAAAGATAAGAGCAAAGCGGCCTTGCGAATTCGTCGTTTTGCCCTACGATATAATGACTTGTAATACTGTACCTTTGGGACTGTACTTACAGGCTGTAAATTTGGTAAAAATGATTCACACTGTACTAGTCATGGTTCACGAACATATTCAGTATACACGAAATCGTGCGTATTTTGGTAAAAGTTTGTTTTGTTATCTTGTGTCAGCTCTGCAGTATTACGTAATATTCACAGCTTGATAACGGTCTGCAAACATGACATTTCGAGGACAACTATTATGGGACGACACCCATGCATGGCACGTTAAATATTGTAGTAAATATTGTTTTGGATGATATATAATTTGATTATTTGACTTTCAAAAAGAAATATTACAGAACATGTTTATTGTGCTTTAAGTTTCACGGCGCACTCTCAAGTTGTTTAAATAATCTAACCTAATTCATATATTTCCAAATACAATGTAGGCCTGCTATCATTTTCTTAATCATCCTCAAAACATCGAAATATAATCGTGTGTTCTCGCCGGCAGTTTTAATTCAAGGTATTTAAAAAAATAATAATACAAAGACTAAGGATGGTTTCCCTGTGTTTTATTTCTCCATGGTTTCCCAAGATGCTTAGGTCACAACCTACCGGACGGATGGTAAACGAAGATAGTCCGTTTTCCTTGCTCCCTGGTTGGATCCAAGATTCGATGCAGACCTACTCGGCAGAAAGACGACCATCTCATCAGAAGCACGATTGCGGGTCCGCCCCGTGTCCATGACGGTGTGGTCCCGTCGGTACTGCTCCATGTAGGAGCCAATATTCTCGCAATGTCTGAAGGTATAGTCGTCGGACCGGCTGTCCCAAGTGGTCGCCTCGTACAACCGCGAAGGGAAAGGTTTCCTCGGGGTCCGCGATGACACGCCTTGCCTCCTGCGGTCCGTCTTTCGGTCCGGGATGCTCCCCCATCCGGTAAGATGCCCACCGCCATGATGGGAATAAGCACCGGGATCACAGATGCAAGGCAGATCGGTAGAGAGTTTCAGGAGCGAGGAAGATGCTTTGCTTGTATAGTTGCAGGTAGTTGGAGATGCCTCATCGTTGTTTTCTTTTACCGTCATCTTAATGCTGCACCCAATGATAGCATGACTCCGAGAAACATCGTTAATACAATACGACCGCACGATCTTGGTCCAGCGTTATCTTTTGAATGCAGTTGACACGCAGAGAGCCGTTTCCGGAAATAGTCTTTTCAAAGCGAACTCGAGACTCCTCTATGTTTGATCAACTCAATCATGTCAATGGTTTCGACAGGCTGAGGCTCGTGACTGCGGGGGTTGTGGCTTCTGACAATATACGCTACACTTCAAGAGCTATATTCTTCTACATTCTCGAAGATTTCAGCTATTATTGTTTGCCCTAATTGCATAGTGTCCTTCCGGCCCCGATCGTACAAAACTCGGTGTACTTTTCGCACATAGAATCAGGAGCCAGCTGCGCGAGGTGTGAAGTCCTTGGTCACTTGCACCTGTCTGCTAAATTTATCCCATAACCATGGCAACGTTTCCTGCTGTATACATACCGTAACAACACTCGCGAGCATGAACCTAATTTACTTGACTGAAGATCGTTCGGCTTCTGTAAGTATAACATCGATTTTTTGGACAGAAACAGCTACGTAAATCACAGTTTCTGTAATCACAGGTTGTGACCCGTGATATCGAAGGACCATAGTAAAACCATAGAGCAAGGAACCAACGGCAATCAAGATGATGTAGCTTGGTCCATCATGGGTATCTGTCATCGCGTGCGTGCATCATGCCCTGGCCTGACAGTCACGTGAGGGTTGTCACCGCATTCCGTTGTCCCTTGTTTGTGCCCTTTGACCTTCTAGGGATTATGACGAGCCTATGATATTTGGGTCACGACCCAGCAGCAGGCCTCACCGATTCGTCATTGTCTTCAGTTGATTTCATTCAATTTCAAAGGATAGAGTACGAGTTATACAATTTGTTTTTCAAGTTTACGACATGAGACCTCAACATTTTAGGCACAACGACTGCGTCTTCAACTTTAGCAACTCTAACATGAATGAATGAATTTTGTGTTCCAAAAAAAAGCAGGTGTTAACATGCTGGCATACTAGCCTCAAGAGAACCATTCAGTGCATTTCATCCAGCATTTTTTTTTTACTGTTACGTCATTGTTAACTTATTTAAGAGCGCCCTCGTTTGGCAAACGAGGGCGCTCTTAAATAGACGTAACAGTAAAAAAAAAAAAACGACGTTTGCAAAGAAAAAAGAGCGCGTATATATATATACGTCATAAACTTAATCCATCAATAGATATAGGAAGTATTTTCAAGTTGTAAAAAGGGTTCTTTTATTATTTGACTAAATGTATTTGAGAAGGAATCACTTGTCAGTTCGGCCCTTTGACCAATTAATGTAACCATCAATCACGGTAATTTGTCTGTGGTGACTGCTCGAACAAGCTAGGCGTGAATTCACACTATAGTGCCAATACAACATCAAAAAAACTCATATATATTAGGGCACATTAAGGGCGGCTAATCACGTTCCCTAAGGATTGCTACCACATTTTGAATTGTGGCCTATCAGTAGCCTACAGAGGCCTACTTTAGAAAAAAAAATACAAATTGAGAGGTCCAGTACAATCATTTTGTCGGTTCAATGATACTGATTTTCGACAAATGTAATATAAGATATTATAAGAGCAGCGAGAGTGGAATGCCCATGTGGATGTAACCACCGGAGTCGTGTATTTGAATTACGGACAAATAGGCCTACAAAGGATTTCGACACGCTCTTGTGCATGTCAAACTGGGTGGGCAAGTGTTTCTAGAAAATTCTCGGGGGGGGGGGCAATCCGGAAAAAATGTTGTAATGAACGATTGTCAAGGCACAGACACTTGAAAACAAACAATTCAAGGTAATAAACAAAGTTTGCAAAACATTAAAAAAAAACACAAATTATTATGAAATACCTTACTTGACTGTAAGTCAATAATAAGCTCAAGCATCCTGTGAAATCATGCATGGCATCTGATGCGCTGTTATTTTCAAGAAAAGTTGAATTTTGTGTCAACTTTTCCAACGATGGTCGGCCGACCATCGTTGGAAAAAGCGGACTTTTTTTCAAATACTGCCCCTAATTTACCAATTTGAAGTTCAGTTAGTCCAAATTGTGTTTGTTTTCTGTTACACATCCGTAAACGGGTGCAAGCCAGCTAGTCTGATTCCCTGACTTGATAATTTCCCTACATATAAATTGCCCAGTTTCGTCTTAAGTAGGGTCAGGGAGCCGACTTAGAACAACTTTTTTTCTTGGTTTTCCAGCATCTACGAACACAACCTTTAACCAGGTCAGTGTAACAATATTTGCTTTAAAATATTAACCCCAAATCTATCCATTTCTGAAAATTACAGCAAATTAAATAAATGTTGTATAATATCTTAAAGCTTGTTTCTGTGTTTTTTTAGCATTGCAATCTGTCTGTAATAATCATATATTTTTTTTAATTCAAAATCCTGAGTGGTGACCAATTACATTTCATTTTTGTTGTCCTGATATGAATTTTAATTAAAGGACTCATAATAAAGTAAGTTCTAATTATAAACGCAATCAATTCTGGTTATTGGCCAATATTTCAAGAGGCTAAATAATTGAATGATCAATTATAATATTCATTGCAGGATGATCGATTGTGTCCACAACCACACCTACACATGCCTCTCTAGTGGACAATTTATCGTCGGAAATTCACCTTTTAATAATTTAACACCAAATATTCCCCTTCGCCTGAGTTGCATGCATTATGGCCCAGTGAATATTTCAAGAGATATTATGGATCCTATAGTCGGCCTCCACTGCGATGTGCTGGACTGTCCCTGGCCGTGGATGTAAAAATGACAGGACGCGAGTTTTGTTATTAATATTCATTAGTGATTCCACAGATACCGGGCTCCTTAAGTGCCATGCAAATTTTACAAGGGACTGCGATCACACATATACCTAATAGCAAATTAAATGGCGTTTCTGGAGCTCCGTAAATCGAGCGGAGCTTTCTACGCATTCAAACCGCTGTTGCGTGAACGAGCGATCGTGCCGCTGCAGCCTGTTGCGAACCGCTCGCAGCGCTGATCGACAGATCTATGTTAAATTTCACAACAGTGCAGTTGCTATATGGACCGTATTGGAATATCGATTCTGAGAGCGAGAGAGCAGTTTTCATATCGATTGAAAGCTTGGAACGAGGATCTTTCTTTCGGTTGAGGCCACAAACTGTGCCCCGACACAAAGGCGGTAGGCGACTAGCGAATCCGCCCCAACATCTTGACGATTAATTGCGGCATCGTCATCATCATTCACTAGCCTCGGAAAATTACTCATCTTTGGCCGGGAAATTCCGCTGCGAAACTTTCCTCTCAACATCTACCTCCACCATGCCGGAACCCACGACAGACACAGATTCCCTCGGGGAGGTAATCCCCCCGAGGAAGGGGTCCGGCGCCTCTCAGAAGTCGAGCAACAGCAGCGAAGGATCCGACAAGAATCTTAAGATGGGAGACACCGAGGTTGTCTTCCTTGAGCCGCTCAACTCCAAGTACGAGTGCGTGTTCTGCAACCAGGTGCTGCGGTACCCGGTACAATTCGAGGAGTGCGGTCACCGGTGTTGCACCTCTTGCTTGCCCAGTCTTTTACGGTAGGAGGATTTCACTTTATTCCCTGGCCTGAAATATTTTTATTGGAACTCATAATTCGTGCAATTATTCATTTGTCTTGGACACTTGAGATCTCATTTTAACCGGCAAGCGTTTGGGGGGGGGGGCTAGGTTTGGATCATAAGGGGGAGGTGTAAGCTAACAAGAGGGGAGGGGGTTAGGCAGGCATTTGCTTTTTGTTATTTTTTTCTGCACGATTATGATATTTTTTGCGGCCCGAAGAGGGGGTTTAAAACCCCCTCACCCCTCCCTCCTGTAGATCCACCACTGGTCTATAGAAGCATTACTTTGTTTTGTAAAACAAAATAATGTAGTTTATAAGGAAAACTAATGATCTTCAAGAAATGTCCCTTAGTATAGCCATTAGAGATTGTACCAATTCTGTTCATGGCTATATGCTATGGGAGAAGGCCTATACATGTATTGATTTTGTATACCGCCTTAGACGTGAGGACAATAGAGAGGGAATAAAGACATATATAGGACCAACCACTTTCCCGATGCACTTTGTTAGTTTTCAATAATAACACCACTCAAAATCCAAAGAAGAATGTTCAAAACCTAACATAATTATTTCAGGTCCATCTCGGGGGATATTATACTTTTTGCGAAAATAGTAAAATTAACCATACACAACCATTTTGATCAGGAAACTTGATTTCATCATGAGCTTTCTTCATTTCCAAAAATCAGTCAATTGGCTGATCGCTGGAAAACACCTTAAAAATACATTTCTTGATTTCTTCTAAATGACAGCAAGCCAGCCAGAATATTTTCACGGGTTGTTTAGTACCAGTATGATCTTTAATCTATAATAAATACGTCTTTGGACAATAATTCGGTAGGTTACTTTTGGGATAAATGCAAATGATCATATGTGCATTTAAAGATCAGGGTAACAGTAAGGTCGACATGCCCTAATTTTGCTAAATGCACTTCAAAAATCCGTCAGATTAATCAAAAATCTGCCAAATTCCCCAGAATCACTCGAAATACACTATAAACACTTAAAATCACATGCAAATGTTGTAGTATTGCCTTAATTAAGGTTCAAATTACATTATAAACAATCTGTAGTCACATAAAGATGTTATGAAGTTGCGTAAATTTCAGGCAAAATCCGGTTCCCAGTGAACCTCAGCAGCTAGACCAGGCAACCTGTCTCATTTAAAGCAAGGGTTTGCTTGAAATAGAGTGAAGTTTTTTTTAAACAAATGTACAATTTTTTTTCAAATTTGCTATGTTTTTCTGTTAAATAACCATTTTTGGAGAATTCTGCCAGAAATTGGCAAATTTAGCCAAAATTCGGCTAAAACGGTCACCCTGTTAAAGATGTACTGTTCGTTCAATGGCTATTCCTAGCAATACGAAAGATTTTCACTTTTGAATGAACCGTCGAATGAACAAAAAATCGGCCTACCTTTAGCTATGAAATAAATATTTTACAAATTTCGAGTTAGCTGCGGCCCGACAGAAATTCAGTTCATGGTAACCGATGTCATAATCGATAATAATACACCAGCATAACAAAAACACTTGTAGGTGCCCCCTCTTGACAAATATGTGCACCCCAGGGGCCCTCTCAGAATTTTAACCCTGTTACTCCACTGTACAGGGTGATGAGTCAAAAAGAAAGTGATCCAGATTAAAGATTGTTTTTCTTAAAAAAAAAACAATTAAATTTGACACACAAATGAAGCATGTCTTAAAGGAGCATGTTCGTCCACTCATATGAAAAAAGAATTACTGAAATTGATCCATGCCATCAGAAGTTAAGCATGTTTTACTAAAAGAACCCATTTTTATAGCGGTCCATGCATGGAATGTCATTGGAAGCTATTGGGCTGAGTAAGAATTACACATTACACACAAGCATTCAAATACAAATGAGATTATTGAAATCAAGACTTAAACATTATTTTTACTGTCCGCAGATTTTGTGTTTTGAATATGAGGAACAAGTCAAATCTTGTTTTTCGTTTGAAATATTGATAGTGATTTTTGTAGTTTTCTTTGCAATTCTCGTTCATTCATCGAGGTGAGAAAACGTCCATGTTTCATGGTACACTCAATGGGTATTCATCAGTTCGTAGAACGGTAAATGATCAGTGGTGGACAACCGAGTTTGCGATCTTTTTATTGAAATAGACATAGCTTGGGAATAGAATAGGCAAATTGCGTGAAATGTTCACAGTTAAAAGTCAATAAGATGGATTTTGTTTCTATATGTTTTTATGAAATGGAGCAAGCCAACCATGTTTAAAATATTTTTCAAATTCGGTCACTTCTTTTGGACTCACCCTGTAAAAGGACCAGGAACCATTCTTCTGGCACGGCAGATGATCTGATTGTTAAACACGGACAGTAGGGCTGCATCTTCAACAATTCAAAATAATGGATTATTCATGCATAATTCGTTTCCGGTTCATTCAATACATTTTTTTACCATGCATCATTACCTGCGTCAGTGACTGTCGTGCGTAAATATTGTTTTGCCAACTTGATATCTATACTCATTTGTTTTGAACCTTTTTGTGCCAAGTGCCTATATCTAGGACTAACCCAAACAATAGTTTTGGAGCCCAATTCATGATATTAACTTTGTCAGTCAACAAAACTGCACAGCAACTTAACTGTATATAGCAATTAAATACTTCACTCTAAAAACGTTGGGCAAAATGGGTTGATATGTAGACCAACGTTGGTCAACATATCAACAGGTTAGGCCTAAACTCTTGGGCAAATTCTTGAGGTAATTTCAACCCAATGTTGGGTAAAATTACATTGCTTAACAGTGTTTTACCCATTATTTTTTTACAGTGTAATTTACTAAACACGTTCTTGGAATCAGTTTGTAAACTTGTTTAAATACTAAGCATGTTTAGAGTTAAGGATGGATAGTGTTTAGCAATTGAACATTAATGTTTAGGAATTGAACACATAGTGTTTAGCTTCTAAATATGTTTACAAAGTGATAGCAAGATTGTGTTTATATAATTGCACAACACAGTTTTTAGAGTGCTGTTTTGGAAGATGCATGCACCTTTCGAATGCGGGTTTTCGAAATTGTGCATCGTATAAACGTTCATCTTTTCCTAAGTTATAACTGAACAAGTTTTCCATATATTCACACAGTGGAACTTGAAATACCGTGAGAGAAAGACCTACCGATTTCATAAACGCTTTATAACTTAAAGACTGGAATAATGAAGCCTGCATAAATTTGGAAACAAAAAAAAATGACGAGATAAAGTCCAGCCAACAGCCTTAAGTGAATTTTCGTAAAACGCTGTTACAGATGAACACATTATCCGAAAACATCGATATCCACTACCACATCAGAAAAAATGAAAACAGCGTGTTATGTTCCGTAGAAACTGACTACATGGAATTTTAAAACATTCTTTTGTTCAGTCATAATCAAGAGAGGCAACCCAGCCTCCGTTCCATAAGCGGTTAATTTCCCGGAAGGTTTTCTGGTGATCGCCCGCGCACCATGCCAGGCTGATCATAATTATCAAGAGCAAGTCCATAACGATTATGATACCAGTGAAACGATTGTGTCCGTATAATAGGCTTCGCCGGGTGAAGGCTTGTAATTTGGTTGTCATGGGAACTGCCATGTTTGCGCGTTCAAGGCCTCGTTTTCTCAAGGAAATTGTGGAATCATCGCATTTTTCCCCGCTGGTATATATGCTGATTCATATTAGACCTTAACTCAACTGAGGAGTAATCCACCAATTACTTCAAGCAAACATTTTTGTTTGTTTGACTATACGTGTTGAAAGTGTTGCTGGTTTGGTTTCGCGAAGACGATTGTTACAATCTGTATATGTCATTGTGCGGGAACAGAGGAGATTAACAAAATCGTACTATCGAATGTGATTATATATTTTAAACAATTGTTTCAAAAACGATTTTGTCCCATCGAACCCCCTCAACGAACAAAGAATATAAAGGATATTAATTGAAACCACACTTATAAGAAACATCATGGCCGTCGCCATGATTTGTTTTCAGGGGGATGGGCAAAGCCATCCCCCCCCCAAAAAAAACCAAATTCATGTACTTTCTCTAGCATGATTATTCTCATTATTTTTTCGAGGGTGGGCGGGGGACATTTACTGCACCCTACCCCCATTGCAGACGCCCATTTTATAAAATGTGTATTAAATTTATAGCAAAGAATGTGACTTCACACCTCTTTTTTTTCTTCTTCTTCTTCCTTTTTTGTCTTGTTCCCTCCCCCCCCTTTTTTTTTTTGCTTTTTCCGGTGGGGGGGGGGGCGCCCCCTTGCCCCATCCCGACGACGCCCATAATAAGAAACCTCATCATCACGCAAAACAAATCTTTGTTTTCTATGAAATTTTAATGCATGCAAATTTATTGCACATTTTACAAATGCTAATATGACGTATACATTCATTGTGAAATTCCTGTTGGCACTTTTGCACACTCTTTTGCGTCTTAACCAGAATACAATTTTATTATTGTTTCAACAATACAAGTCCACTTGTCCAATATCATCCGTCATTATAATCGTAATACCATGAACTGCGTGTATACTGGGTGGTAAATTTCTAAATATGTTGCTTCTTTTTCAGTGTTGCCCCTCGATGCCCCTTAGATCAAGCGCCAGTTTCCAGAGATAGTGTAAGTGAAATTGTTTTTTAAAACCTGTTACAGTAAAATCTCGATAAGTGAAAACCTGTTAACTCAAAAAAACCTTCTTACTCGAAGTACAAACATATTCCCGTCAATTGTCGTTGAATAGAAAACCATTGGATAACTCAAAACATCTGCTTAGCTCAAAATTTGAGCCGATTCCCCTGTGGTTTGACTTATCGAGATTCCGCTGTATTTTGAAGTGCTGGACGTCATTCAAGTGGTGCAAATCGGCACTTATCATGTATTCAGAACCCACAACATAGCTCCCTGTTCTTATTTCGAGATTCAAGTGGAAATTTTTTTTCTTCAACTTTGGAATGAAATATTGAACGAAAAACTCAGCCCACGTTTATAACATAATAAATTTCGAATTACTTGCGGTCTGACCATTCAGGCGGATGATTTTTGTGCGTTAGATGCACAAAAGCAACTCAAAATGGGAAAAAAAGCACTTCTCTCTTATAATAAAACATACCAAGTGAAAATTAATTTGCTGAAGAGCACGGAATGACATCTTTAAAGGTACGACATAATATGGAGCCTTTTGTGATCTCAAGTAGGGTGCGTATAACAGCTAACAAATTGAAGTTTTAGGTTAGTATAGGTTTTCCCGGCTATTTTAACACTTGTATCACTCGAATTCCCTATATCGATACTTTAATTTCGTCCCCGATCATCGCAAAGCTCACTTCTCAATTTGAATTTCAGAAAGCTACCACTAGATTTCATTTAAGGTTCAGTATAATTCAAATTGTTAGCATTCCGATTCGTCCAAAATCTTTGAAATTCGTCTCGTGAAGCAATCGGCGTTGAATTGACAAAGCAAATTCGTTTTTTGTCATTCGTTTTCATGTTGTTGTCATTACATTTCGTCCCGACTTAAATCGTATACGATTAGAAAATGCGCCCAATATTTAGACTTATTTGAAGAATTATGCGTATTAAAACAATGATAATTCGACATATATTTCCTTATATGTATAAATAAAAGTAGTTAGCTGTAAGGTATGAATTTTTATTTCTGTGTTTCACAATTAACATTAGAGTCTGGAATTGACATTTCACAATATGCACTTATGACATGGACACTAAGCATTACCTGTAAGTTCAGAGACCTTCTTATGTTGTTCTTTGATAGATATACCTTATTTCTGTTGTTTTATTCATATACATATATCAAAGAGCAACATTACGAAGGTGTTTGATCTTAATGCTTAATTTTCATATGCTAAGCAAAAAGCATAATTATTGGGAAAGTTCAATTTCATATTTTAATGTTAATTGTCAAAGAAAACTCAAAACCTACAGCTATACTTTCATTTATACGGAAATATTTGTTAAAAATTAAAATGTATTTAATGCGCAAACAAGTCCAAAGATTGGGCACATTTTCAATGGTAACGTTTTAAGTCACCAGAGACGAAATGTGACGACAAGAACATTAAAACGAATGACAAAAAACGAATTTGCTTTTTCAATTCAACGCCGATTGCTTCACGATACGAATTTCAAAGATTTTGGACGAATCGGAGTGCTAACAATTTTAATTATACTGAACCTTAAATGAAATCTAGTGGTGGCTTTTTGAAATTCAAATTGAGAATTGAGCTTGGCGATGTTCGGGGACGAAATTAAAGTATCGATATAGGGAATTCGTGTGAGACAAGTGTTAAAATAGCCGGGAAAACCTATATAATGCAAGGCCGGATACAGAACACAAGGGGGGGGGCATGGCCCCGTTGGCGCCCCCCTCCCCTAGATCCCCCGTTGTGTTTTATAGCTCCATGGTATAATGTGCAATTGGAGACAACAGAAAATAAGGTGTTTTTGTGGGGGGGGGGGTTGTTTTTTGGTCTCACAACTGGTTTCCGCTGCTAACGCACGTTAAAAAAAATTGTGCCAATGTGCCACTCTTTTTTGAAACCACCTTCCATGTCAGTTGTCTTCTAATCGACACCATTTCAGGCGCAATAATTCCACATGGTATCGGCCAATCTTCATTTTGAGCAAGGCTTCTGTCATCAAATTAGTATACTTTTCCTGGTAATTACAAAATGTCTCTACGCGTGAAGCAGGCAATACTGCTCATCAGCAAAATGTTCTGTTGAGCAGTGTAAGTTTACATCGTATGTCATTTAATGTGCAAGTAACCTGTTGCACCTTATAGGAAAATCGTTTCTGATGTGATCCGTGAATTTCTGTGTCAGAATTAGCTCCATCAATAAAATATTTGGCCCCAATTTTGTTGTACCGTGTTATTAAACGACACAGAGAAGAATATGCAAGCATGCATTTGCTATAATTAATACGGCTTGTCGTGATACTCATTACACACCGACTCAGATATTGTCATGTTTTTATTTAGGTGTACGTGGATACAGCTTTTGGGCGGGAAATCAACGAGTTGGAAGTGAAGTGCCCCAACCATGGCAGAGGGTGCGGATGGAATGGCGTCCTCAACGATAACAAGGTAATGCGGGGGGAAAAGAAATCGAAAATACATGAAACCTTACGTATTTTGTTTATCATTTTGTTGATTTCCTCATTTGAAAACATCCAGAGTGTTTCAAACTAGCTCATCGGATTCGATTTTTTTTATCGGGCCATTGATCCTTGCAATTGCCAACAACCACCAATCCTCCCAGACTACTTTACCGGGGTCAAGGAATGACTCGCCCGTATAGATCTGTGTTAAAGTATCCCTCACTATACTTCTAACCGTCATTAATGTTGCCGATGACCTCAGTCCCAAAGATATTGTCGTCACCAAGTAAAATTTCCCAAATTAAGTTTCCCACTTTCCTCCTTTGATCAGAAATTTTCTTAGAATTTAAAAAAAGCTTCTGAGTATTTTGCTTGTAATACACTTAAATGGTTTTTCTTTCAGTTCGAAAACGCACAATCGAAGGCTTCGTGTTGGGGAAAATGTAGTCAGAGTAATTTTCTTTATAGACAATTTTCTTTATATGAAATCACCAAAAACATTTTAATTTTTTTTTTTTAATAATTGGCTAAGTTTAATTTCTTTGATTCCCCCACCCCCATACACTTTTCGTTTTATCAATCGCGAACACTACAACAATTTATTTTGTTAAATAGCAAACATTAAACCGGGGTAAAAATTGTGGTTATTCTTTTCTTGTAAAAAAAAAAATCTTTGTTGGTATAAACTTGAGGAACCCGTTTTAAAGTTAGCATCAGTGTTAAAAAGTAACAAAAAATGCCCATGCACGATGATTCAGCAAACTGATTGGATGGCCTGTTTTTGAATTGAATATATTTCTTAGGAAATGCAGCTTTAAATTACACATGCGGCACTGCCTGAGTTTTCTCAGCAGCTTAAAATGTGGCCAGCTGGTCTCTGATTAATATTGAATTAATCTGAAATATATTTCCACAGTAGGTTTTGTCAAATGTACTAGACACTTCATGTGTCCTAAAACAACAGTTTTTCGCTGGGATTATGTTAAAATTACTCTAAACATTAGTGTCATCAATTAACACCACATTGTGTTGTCCGGAATTTTTTTTTTTACAGTTGAAAGCCACTTTATGTTGTCCAAGAAGGACATCGGAATTGGTGCCAAACTTGACACCAAGGATTGGTGTTAATCTTACACTTTTGTCCAACCTTGACACCAGGGAAGAATACAGTTATAACGACAAGTTATAGTGCATAACAAATTAACACCAATTCTGATGTGTAGTTTCACCACATTTTGGTGATGAATTATATAAGCACAAACTGTTGTTGAAAGTTACCACCAGGTGATGTGTTGTCCACCATACATGTACTGAAAAAAAAATTAATTTCAACACCATCACACAAGTAGTATTTGTAAACGAGGCCTGATGAGTTGGCCTGACAACTTTTCACGATAAATTCCGCCTTTTCAGACCCATTTCCAGCAATGCATGTACAACGAGGTGGACTGCCCCAACTCCTGCGGCGCCCACTTCGAGAAGCGGTTCCTGGAGGCCCACGTGAACGAAGACTGCACCAAGCGGATGATCATGTGCGAGTTCTGCGACAAGAAGATCTTCTACAAGGACGAGATTGCCCACATGAACGCCTGCAAGAAGTTCCCCGTGCCCTGCCCCAACGGCTGCAAGCTGACCGACATTCCTCGGGAAAAGGTATAGAGAAACAGTGGACAGGAGGTGACGGTCATTACCTAGCAGATCTAGGGGTTAGGGGTTGCAACAACCCCCACCCACCCCCACCCCCACCCCACAAGTCAAATACAAGTCATCATAAGTTACCACATGTCATCGCGAGTCAACCATCACAAGGCATCACAAGTCCATCTCAAGACATCCATTCAGAAGCCAATCGACACTTTATTCTTGAGCTCTAATAGGAATTCATCTTTGAATTAAGTGACACGTACGGGAAGTCATCATCGTTCATCTCCTATAATACTTGTAATCTGGACTTGTTATCTGACTTGTGATTGACTTGCAATTGACTTGCGATTGACTTTAGATTGACTTGTGATTGTGACTGACTTGAGATCGACTTGTGATTGACTTGTGATTGACCTGCGATTGACTTGTGATTGACTTGTGTTTGACCAATTCCAAGCGCAAGCCCGGTAAACTTTCCATGAAACACGGAAAATAAACAAAAACGAATAATGCTCAACCTATGTCATCAATGATATTACATTGTCAAAACAACGAGGAGCCAATTTGCAAGACGAAGACCCCAAAACTTGATGGAAAAATAATCACGAACCAAGCAAACGGAAACTCAAGGACAATTTCTTTTTTAATCTTTCCCCAGGTCAAGGATCACGTTGATGCAGACTGCCCTAAGGCCAAGATACAGTGTCCTTTCAAGGACATGGGATGTGACTTCAAGGTAATCCACCAAGTTCAAATGTTTATTTTGCTAAAGAAAAACCTCCACCGACATTCACTGTTCTTAACGCTGCAGTAAGCACATTTTCAGACACCGATTGGAGGCAAGAAAGATGCATCAGACAAAAGATGGATTGTGATATAACCTACAAAAGGCAGTTTTCAAACTCCGGCTACGTCTGCGGTTGGGCTTAATTTTTGACGTCAGAATCATTTTAGATTAGAAGCCTGTCATGTCCAAACCAAATGTAAGTGTTCAATTTTTTTTGCCTCCATATTTATTGGTCTGATGTCCCTTATGCAGATCGATGGTCTCATATTTAGCTGGAGTTCCCTGTGTCAGGGACGTGCAGGCCTCCAACGTTCACCTTCAAAAGTGCAGACGTTTATTATTTATGCATGGCAACATCGTAACAGGTAGTTGTCCTCGATGACACACATATGACACCTGTCACTTATCATTTTTTTTATTCAGTGTGAACGACAGAAGATGCAGAAACACGTGCAGGACGAACCCGTCGAACACATGACGTATGTGGGAGAGACGATGGTCAAACAAGCCACCCTGCTTGGGAAACACCAAGCTATGCTCCTCGATCATAAGGTACAGCATGGGCTCGAATCTTGCATTGAAAAGCTTCATTGGTGCAAAGCAAAATCCAACATAAATACAGGCATTTTTGTAAATAAAGGTAATGAACACCATTTTCAAATTAGGTTTTGCCCTTCACCGACGTTTAAACACTGCTTATACTCAGTGTGTTACCTCCCGAGTGAAAGATGGGAAAAATCACTCGGGTGGGACTCGAACCCACAACCTCCTGCTTTCTAGTGCAGACTTACCACTCGACCACCGAGCTAACGGGATCGGTTGGCTGGTTCGAATCTGATGTACATAGCAAATTCCATCTTAGAACACCATTTTGCAAAAACTGTATTTTTTTTCGCACCGATTCAGGGAACTACAATACAGTTCATTTGAAGCAGGTTTCAGAAAATTAAATGATGCCTGATGACGTCACACTATATAGTGGTCCTTGAACAGTTCTTTGCGAGAGCTACATCCCGCCCGGCCAAAATGGTTGGGACACGTGACAACAAGCATAGCCTGCCCCGGTCCCCCACTCCCCCTCTGCCCCGTCAATGTTGTCAGCCTGGACCACAGACCGCGCGCACCGCGCAATGAGAGACAACATTGACCGGGGGCCGGGGAGGGTGGCCCAGCGAGATCTGGCCGGGATTGTAGCTATCCTCGGCCGTTCAAGTCTTGCAAGGGAGTTGAACCCACTACCTCCTTCCTAGCGCAGACCTCCACCGAATATACTCTCTAAAATGTCAAAGAGTGAAGAAAAGAACACCCTATAGAGATGTCCCCATTATATGGCTCTTAAAAAGAGTGGAAGTTTCTCTCTTTTAGTTTTAGAGGCAAGAAAGACGCCTCTAATGATGTTTTTCACATCTTCATAAGAAAGTAGTTGCCAGTGGTCAGCCGACTGATAAGATTTCAACCAGCAGCGAATAATAAACCAAGTTCAGCCTAAAGTCAGTTTTGCATCTTAAATATTTTGCCTGTTGTTTTTTTTCAACAGGATTCGTTGGGCTCCTGCGTGCAGAAGGTCCACGACCTGGAGATGCTGTACGGCTCCCAGCTGGTCTGGAAGATCGACCGCTACGCCGAGCGGGTACAGGAAGCAAAGACCAACAAGAAAGTCACCATCTTCAGTCCGCCATTCCTGACCAGTCGTCATGGTTACAAGCTGGCTATCTCGGCATGCTTGAACGGGGACGGCAAAGGTATAGGCATGAATAATTGAAAGACTGTGTGTATGCAAATTATAATTATGGGCGATAATAGCAGGAGGTGAATTATGCTAAGTGTTGCGCGCGTACCGTTTTAAACACAAAAGAACTCTACGCGTGTCGGCCATTATCTTCGGTTAGGGAGGAATATTAATGATTGAACGCATGGTTGCCTCGCAGTTAAAGGTACCACCAGGGTTCGATCTGTTGCTTTTTATTTAAGCAACAAAACTGCTGAAAATCTTAATGCATGTATAAACTTACCTGAAATTGTAGCTTGGTGGATATACTGTACATTTTGAGAAAACGGGGGAAAAACATAATGCTGTGGGTCACGTTATAGGAATCTGTTGCTAGCTAACGCGGCACATTTAAAAAAGAGTGCCCGCGGGTATACTTTTTTAAACCAGCTTCAATGAATTGTTTTGTTTTATTCCGAACAATTAAAGGCGTAATATTTTCACAAGGCGCGTATTATCTTCAATTTGAGCAAGGATTTTTGTTCACGAATTCGGGTAGGTCCATTTCCGGGTAGTTTACCAATGTTCATGTGCGTTGAACAATGAGAGTAGAAGAACTGAATGGGTGACGGTACGACGACCGAAGTTGTTTTGTTTGTTCGACCAGGGAAAATAGCAAAAAAAGGAATCAAAATAATAATTAGAATATTACCGAAATAAACAATTTTATTTTGCTGGAGAGGGGCTCGTAGGGGACATGCATGGTTGCTCCACGTCATTAACTGTCAGTTTATTACTGTCAGACGATTTGTCAACCTTTGTTGAGCACTGTATTACAACAATAGACCAGAATTCGCGAGGTGGTCGTTATTGTTTGCGTGTGAGAATCCACATGTGCTATACGTTTTTGACATTTGTTTGCAAATTAAGGCATAATTTCATGAGGCTGATAATGTCAGGCAGCTGATATACGCAGCCGGAAAAAAATGCTTAGCGTGTAAAAATTGGTATGTTGTAAGAAAAAGTAAGCTGAGTACCAGTAAACAATACATGATATTTTAGATGGCAAACTGTTTGAGCTATAAGCAAATGTTTTTGCACTAATCACGAAGGCCCAGATCCGTAAAACAGTCTCCGCAGCCTAAAAAGATTAAAAGTGTTTCTGAATGAAATCTCAATGTTTCTCCTCGACAGCCAAAGGCCACTTCATGTCGGTCTTCGCCTGCATCTGCAAGGGCGAATACGACGCCCTCCTGCCTTACCCCTTCTCTCACCGCATCACCTTCACCTTGATCGACCAGTGCCAGGACCCCTCGGCGCGCCGGAACATCGCCTACACCATCAAGCCCAACCCGTGCAAGGAGAACAAGCCGTTCCTGGGCCGGCCCGTGGGCGACCGCAACGCCAGCTTCGGCACGCAGAAGTTCGTGCCGCTCAACACGCTCAAGACGCTGGACTACATCAGGGACGATACCATGTTCATCAAGGTCCACGTGGATTACAACGACATGATTCTGTTGTGAATCTTGGAGGTCCAATTAAGGCAAATTCTTTTTTTTTTAGTCCCCGAGTAATAAAACCCTGAGAGAGGTACCCAGACGCCAATTCAATTTGTTTCATACAAAGTCATCGGTCTTTTGAGATTTGGCGGACACCGTACTGTAAATGCACAAGATTTTACCAAAAAGGATAGCGTCCTGATCCTATGTAACGTTTTCAGTGTATTTTCAAACAAAATTTGAAAATTCGGATTACTTTTCTCACTCCCAAATTCGTGTTTCTCCAATGTATTTCCATTGAACGTCTGTATCTCTGACGTCATTATCTAATTATAATACACTGTACTTCTTAAAGAGTGACTTCGCTCTAATTATTATCTACTTTTTTCTAAGGGGTGATTTTTGCCTCAATATAGTTTCAAGAAGATGTTGACCCTATTAATTACACTGCAAAAAATTAACTCCGTGTGATTTTTATTGCAACGTATACGGTACCGGTAGCTGTCGAGTTGCAGTGTGGACACTGCTAGTGTTAATTTTACACTCTGTTTTTTTTGTCTAGGAAGGTAGAAGAGATGGTGTCAGTTGCATAATTCAGGGTCCAATTTTCAGGGGGCTCGGGGATCGTTCCACGGACCCAGGGGTTTCAAACCACAAAAACTCCATGTTCAAGAGAGGGAGCCCTCTTGCGGGGGCCGTGCCTCGTTCCCCTTGCCCTTTCGGTTAAATATCCTGTGCACAACAAATGTGTATATAACAGTTTTAAAAATCGCTTCTTTAATAAAATGAACCATTTCAAAATATTACATTTTGCTTTTAGGGAATAATATTGGGGATTAATGTTTAAGAAACTGCCTCGGCATGTAAATAGTTTTTCGGGATGTAAATTTTTGTTATATAAAAAAATAGAAAGATGCAGATATGTACATTATAGATTATAGTATATATTTTCACGGTATTCCAATCACGAATCAATAACAGTGAGGAGGCATTAGTGGTGTGATGGAGTGCTTGTGAAAACGGGGGAAGATGCCCTGCTTATATAGCCAAGGAAATCTGGTGGAATTTGCCCTCGTTCGATCAACTTAAAATTTGACTAGTGAAGTGTGAAATTTGGACTAACTCTTTGAAATACTAGAGTCTGAAAGTAAAAGGTCGCGTGGCGAGCTTCCGGACCCCCGCGCGCGACCCGCCTAGGCATTTCCACTGGGTTGCACCGTATATATCTTAATACCGTTTGACCGTTTTACAAAATGTAAAACGACAAAACGGTCAATGGTTCGTTTACTGTTTTTGTTTTTGAGGAAATCTAAAACGGTAAAACGAAATAACGGTTTGTACCGGGATTGCCAATGCGCCACAAAATTAGTTCATAAATGTTCATCTGTGTTATACACCGAGTTACACTAGTCCACATGCATTTTAGAGGGGGTGAGTTTCGTAAGAAATCAATGTTGCAAAAATAAATGCAAATTTTAGATTTTTTGCACGTCAATTTTTTTTCTGTTGGAGGGGTCCGGAAGCGCGCAACCATGCATGGGGGCCAGCTCTATTGCGCATGCCTTAGGGCAGTGAGAGGTCACGTGTGAGGATTAAAGTCCATAATAATTATACAAGGTGAAGAGACTATATAGATTTCGTAGGAGTATAATTTCATGAGACACCGAAATCACCTGGTCAAGTTGTAAACAGTCATTTTGATAGAGGTGTTGCAACTGACGATATATATCAGAGAGCTAACATAATTATTTGTTCCTTTGTGATAGACATGAGTGGATCAAGGAATCAAAAGATATCTCTTATAATTTCTTATAAATCACTTTAATAAATAAAACACAAATAGTATTTTTCACTCAAGCTTCGGGGGCTAAATAGGCGGGCGCGGGCATCCGGGAATTTTTACTTTGGCATATCTAGCTCCCAGACCTATGTTCTTGAAAGTCAATGGTTCTTGAGTCTGGAGTGCTGAATGGTAACACATAGCAACCGATGAAAACTGGTGTGCAAATATGAAATGAATAGATAGTTTCATTGGATGACGTAATCCCGCCCACACCCATGGAGGGAACTGTCAAATCACAATTATAGAAATGTATATAAAGTGACTATTAATCCTTTGTAAAAATGTCAGAAGTGCCAAGAGATTGTTGAATAAAATGTTATAGAATGTATAATAAAAACTTATAGTATTAAAACACCAAAGCTTAAGAATAATGTTCGATTGCATTAATGTTGCTTTTGTAGTTTGAGATGTGCATTTATCATAGAGCTGAATAATAAACTATACAGCTCTATGGTATATATAGTGCTTTGTGATTTAACCGTACGCATACTTTTCTCAACTTGAGGTATGAACCACGATTTGACCTACGTGATGTGGCCTTCTTTCGAGTAGTATAGGCCTAATAGGGGTGTTAGTGGCACCACCATCGTCAAAATAGTCGGCCCCCCAAAAAACTTTTTTTCCCTACAAAATTCGAAGAAAAAAATGTGTGAGCCCCCCCCCCCCCCCTCCAAGCCACATCCTGCGTGCACGCGCCACTGGTATGACAAAAAACTCCTGTACGCTGACAGATTACACAATATGCAAGAGAACAAACACAAGTTTCTAGTTTGAATGTAAACATTTTATGAATGAAACAAAAATCAAACCCTAAGAAAACTATTCTGAAATAACAATTCCAACTGTGAAAACACTTATTTTTAAATGAAACAAAAATAAAATATCTATAAGAAAACATCATTCTGAAATAACAATGCCAATTGTGAAAACATTGTTTTTAAATTGAAACTAAAATCAGAAACCTATAAGAAAACAGTTCTCAAATAACAATTCCAATTTATGAAAACTCTTTTTTTTTAAACGGACACCAAAATCGAAACCTATATCTCTCAAATACGTCAATCATTGTGAAACTTTATCTGCTTGCAGTGCTATCAGAACAACCAATAAAAACGTTAAACTTTTGTATGTTATACAGATTAAAAAGGGGGGGGGTGGAAATCACATGACACTAGGGGGCGTTGTTCAAGATACAAATGCGGCATCTTTAACAAAGTACATGTAATGTGTTTACGTACATCAAAACGGTGCATTTAAAGTTTTATGTTCTCCATTTTTCATACCTATTGAATACATTTGCACCACTGGACAGCTAAAAGAAAACCTCAAATTCGGCGTTTTGGGTTCCTCACCACAACAATCTGGGAGGGGGGGGGGGCATTCCCCTGTTAAAAAAAGTGTGTGTGCATGGGTTTGTTTATGGTGTAAATCGAGGACACACAGTCCTGTAAAGCATCATCATAAGCCTAATCATAGAGCTAGGACCTAGCTCTATGGCCTTTTTGAGGACAGGAGTCAAATCGAGGACGACCTCGATTAGAAAACGTGTACAAAACCAATGAGAGCTGATGCAAAAAGGTTAAAGAGTATAAACAAAAGATCGATGATGAGGACCAATAGAAAATCCTCGATTTACCCCATAAACAAAGCTGGGTTTGTTTCTGCATTCAATAGGAGACGTTGAACAATAGAGGACAATAGGGTCCCCAATTTCCTGAAGGTCCCTTGGCGATCGTGTGCAAACCATATGGGAGGTCTTCCAATAACAAGTTGAAGTACATTACAAATTATGACAATATGGGGAAACGATTGCAGGCAACATGTGTGCGTGCGTGTGGGTGAGTATGTAAACACCGGCAATCGTGGACCTAGGGCAAAAGGGTTAGGACACAAACACGTCCACGATTGACCGAACGTCCACGATTGAAATTCGTGTACAAAACCAATGAAAGCTGTTGCTGAAAAGTTAAAGTACAAACAAAGGAATAAGGATTAGGGATAATAAGGGGGTCCACGATTGCCGGTGTTTACGAAGATGTATGTGTGGGGGTGGAGAAGGGGTATCCTCCCTTTTCCCCAGGATTTACGCCTTCCGCGCTATATTGAATAGTAAAAGTCCATACAATTGATTTTGTGGGGGGGGGGGAGAACTAAAGGCTGTTTATTCAACATGTTCAAGCTCAAAGATTTAGCTCTAAAGTCAAATTACATTGTTGTGTATACGAGAGGAAATTTATTCATTAACTCTCAAAAATCCAACAGCACTAAAACTATATAATAGCACTCTCTGCATCAAATGCAATACGGAAACTCGTTTTCTGAAATTCTGAAATCATCAACATACACTATTGTACAAAACCAAGGTGCTGGGATTGTATGGATTTGGTATAGTTGGGGTGAGGGAAACACACAAAGCTAAAGAGATATATACAAACCTAATCAAAACTGGCAATATATCATGCCAATGACAATTATGAAACTGTCCACTGTTTTTGTAAAACTGCATGTCAACGAAAAACCAGGACAAAATTATTCAAAAAAAGAATAATTTATGGGCTTCAACTACACATTTCTGTCAGTATAAAACTGGAGTGATCTTCCAATAATGCACGCAGACCACTCTTTGATTTATCCGAACAAAATGTTGGACACTGAAGATGTCTATGCCGGGTTTTTGCCCCTGCCAAAACACCTCCGAGGGGAGGGAAAGTGAACTTGACAAGCTTCATTATGACTTTAACGAGAGAGTTCACGGAATTCTTCAAATAAACTGGCGAAGTGTTGAAATGATTGCACCAATTGGCATCCTCTTAAACTTTGTCTTTCTCTTCACAGTCATTCGAGTGAAGTCCATGCGTACAATCATCAACATATTCTTATTCAATCTGGCTGTGGCTGACTTGCTCTTCCTCTCAAGTGACTTGCTATATGCACTGTTTTTTCAACCCATAGACTCCTTGCAAAGGGCAGCCCTGGGTGTCCGTTATATGTTTCTAGCAGTTTGTAATTTCTTTGTACTTACCATAGCAGCCGAGAGATTCTCTGCAGTGCGCAATCCTCTGACACACAAAGAAAAAGCCTTGAAATCTCGAGCAGCAAAGATATCAGCAGGAGTCTGGGTGCCGACAATTATTATTGGTGTGATTCTGATATTCTTACCAATAGCAGACACTCTCTTCAGGGAAATACTCTTCTGGATTCCTTTCATTATCAACATTGTCTGTTTCATAGCAATTCTTGCTTTGTACATCTATGTAGTAGTGAAAGTGCGCAGTCAATCAGCCCTGTTGCCAAACCGTCCCAAGCGAGCAGGCAGGGTGCTCCGTATGATAACCATCAATACTGCCATTTTCTTCGTTTTGAAGTCACTAGACGTTGCAGCCGCATCCATTAGAATCATTGTGCGAAACAATTTTACTAGGCCAGCCGAAGAGATTGAATATCTGGAACTCACGGAAAAACTATTTATTCTGAATGTATGTGCAGACATCCTGCGACTTATCAATGGCTCAATTGATTCCCTGGTCTACAGTGCCACAAATGCTGACTATCGTGCAGCTGTAATTGAGGCTTCCTCATTCCTGAAGCTGCTGCCCGGACAGAATCCCAGCCGACCATCGCAGCCAGGGAAGCAGATTAAGCTTCATGTGATTCCAAAGGCAGAAAATGACCAAGAGCACCATGCTGCCAGGCCAAGCAGCAGCAAGCCACCAAGCCAAGGGCATGCACAACACACAGAGAGTCAGCAGTCGGACAGCTGTCAAGAACAATGTTCCAGGCAAAGCAGCAGCAAGGCATCCATGCACAGCCAGCACCATGTTCAAGTGCATGTTGAGGTACATGCAGAACCAGCGGGGACCCCAGCGCGGACCCCAGCGCTTGCAAGTTCTCATCAGGAACAGTGCTCAGATATTCTGACTGACTGCACGCCATCCATACAAGGGGAACAGTGTGTACACCCAGAACCAGCAGAGAGCCAGCAGTCACTTGTAAGTACTCAGGA